AGTATTTGGAGGAACCGGTGGGCAAATCGGTCTTGAAGACATGTTTCATATCTTGTTTCATGTCCTTGCCACACATTTCACGTCTATACTGAGTCATAGTAGAGGAAGCTGATCCCAAAAAACACCAAAGACGATTCTATCGCTTTGCAAACAGCATCGGGTTTAGAGGATGGTCCGAACCCTTAGTGAAGAGAGGAAGGAAAACTTTTCCCACTCCACCTAATGTTGAATTAGCACTTCGGGCGCCGATTCTAGACCCAGTAGTGGCTAATATGATCAAGCGTGATACCGTAAACACTGATAATAGTGTTTGCCAGGATAAGATGCTCATGGCTGCTAACCTTTTAGTAGAGTTGTTGGCAGCAGTTAAACTCCGAATTTGTGAGTAAGTCCTCGCTCAAAAATGTAGCGACCTGCTCGGGAACTTCAGATTCTTTCCCTTCTTAATTTGGAGACACCTTTTTGGAGAAGGTTAATTCAGCCGATTAGGCTAGACGCACTTTGAGTAAGGCTTATAAGTCAGCCCCTTCGAGCACTTCTAAGTCCAACCGTTCAAAGTTTAACTATAGCTACAACAAGTACTCCTCAAACTAAAAGGGTTACATTTTTCGTCCCTACAACAACAAACCTGTAATTCTACCCTAGCCATCTAGCGGTTTTGGTCAAAACTGCAGTGTTTTTGCCCAAGTCTCACTGAATCTCGCGAGATATCGGGAGATTTGAAGAAAACAAGATGGCCGACCTCGTGCCGAGCGCTACACATTTCTATGTTCAAGGCCACGAAAACGTGTCCAAAACTCGTAAAAATGGATTGAATACAAGGTCACAACAAAGAAGAAATGTTCTTCTCTCTATGTTTAATTTGTTGGAGCACTGATTCCTCATTGAAGGGAAGATTTTCGTGAGTTATTTTTCTTCCATGTTGCCGAATTTTGAAAGGGGATTTTCCACGTTACGATCGCCATATACTAGCCCCTAAAAATCTATTCTCTGACTGTTTGGGCTGTATTTCATGGAGAAATTAGCGTTGTTTACATGAAAATAGGATTTTCAAATGCCAGCAGGGTGTCAACATTTTACCAAACACATTGAATTTGTGTAGCAAAGTGGACTATTATTATTCAAATAGCGCCTTTTTACAACTTTTGTCAGACAATACCGATGGGCATAGTGACGCCGCTTGGCCCCCAAATCAGCAAAATTTCACGAATTAGCCAAGCTAACACAAGCAAAAGTACGAAGAGAAGACCCTACATTTGAAAACTTTATGAGAGGCGCTGAAAATTTTATGAGAGGCGCAGCGCCCTTGTTTCATTGCTTGGGGAGACCCCTGGATTACTAGTAGTAGTTTTCCTAGACGACTTACCGATCATTGCAAGGTCGAGGGAACAATGCTTAGAGCACATTGCTATAGGCAGAGAGCTTCTAGAGCAACTCGGTTTGTTCTCAACCTGGAGAAGTCGCAGTTGGTACCGTCTCAGGTAGCGACTTTCCTAGGCCTTGTCCTCGATTCTCGTACTTTGACAATTTACCTAACCGAAGACAAGTTAGACAAGGTAGTGAGTTCTTGCCTATCACTTCTAGAACAGGAGGTGATAGGAATCAGACAGCTAGCCAGCGTGGTGGGGCTGTTAGAGTCCACCAAGCAAGCCATTCTTCCCAGGCCCTTACTTTTCCGGGCTCTGCAACAGCTTCTCAATTTTCGGCATAAAGAAGCCGAGAGAATTTTGACTCTTTAGTCAGTCTAACCCCAGATGCAGCAAAAGATCTACAGTGGTGGATCGGTCATGTGCGCGAAGTAAAGTCTTTGTTCCGTCAAACCTGACAATTTGCACGGATACCTCACTGGAAGGATGGGGCGCGCATTGTTATGGTCAGGAGACAGGCGGGCGCTGGTCGCAAACAGAAGCGCGCATGCACTGTGACCAACTGACTAGAATTGAAAGCGGCCTCCCTGGCGCTAAGAAGCTTTGTGAGCGCAGATACTCAGCATGATCTGCTAAGGCTGGACAACGCAACAGCCGTTGCATATGTGAATCACGTGGGGGGAACAAGGTCGCCAGATTTGGCAGCCTTGGCCCTGGAGATGTGGTCGTGGGCCCTGGAAAGAGGCCTGACGTTGTCTGCAACTCACGTTCCCGGATTGACAAACACCCTAGCGGACAAGTGTTCGCGGTTTTTTTCTGGACAAGGTAGAGTGGCAACTGAACCGCTCAGTTTTTCCTGTCATTGAACAATTGGACAGGCAATGCATTGACAGTAGATCTGTTTGCTTCTCGTATGAACGCTCAGCTGAAGGAGTATGTCTCTTGGCGCCCAGAACCAGAGGCCATGTCGGTGGATGGCCTAAACATTCACTGAGGCAACCTGGGGCTAGCGCATGCCTTTCCCCGCTTCAGCCTAGTGTTCAAGGTACTGAGGAAAGTCCAGTCAGACGTAGCAATAGTGATTTTGATACCTCCAGTTTGGGAGTCTCAGGCTTGGTACCCCAAGGTGTTGAACATGTTGTTCGAGAGTCCGGTTCTCCTGCCACAGAGCTGGGATCTGCTGTTCCTGCCGCACAACAGGAGACCCCATCCGCTGTTGCCAGATCTGATGCTTGCCGCGTGGCCAAGATCAGGCGACAGTTGCAGGGTCGGGGCCTTTCGGCAGGGGCTTCAGACCTCATCCTCTCGGCTTGGAGAGAAAGCACTTCTAGACAGTATCAGTCAGCATGGGCTCAGTGGGCCAGCTGGTGTGATAGAAGGAAGATTGATCCAGTTTGCGGCTCTATAGAGAGCGTAGTAGAATATCTTGAATGGATGTTCCGACAGAACTACTGCTATACATTGTATGTCAATTGGGGTGGCTCGTTCTGCGATCTCGTCTGTACACTTACCAGTAGACCATGGTAATGTGGGTAGTCACCCTCTAGTGTCCAAACTGATGAGAGGTCTGTTTCACAAACGTCCTCCTTGTCCAAGATATGTTTCAACATGGGACGTCAGTCGGGTCCTAGAGTACCTTCTGCATTGTTGCCAAGCTAATAGTCTTGGTTTGAAACAGCTGGTTCATAAGTTGGTAACACTAGCGGCATTGGTGTCAGCCGACAGAGGTCAGACTTTAGCGGCTCTTGACTTGAGATTCATGAAAAAAAAAAAAAAATATAGTAGAAACGGTAGTTTTTCTTGGACAATTCCTACCCTGCTGAAACTTCTAGACCAGGGAAACCTGCCAGAAAGTGTTTTTGGGCGGCCTTCCCGCAGGACAGGCGCTTGTGTGCCTTCACATACCTGAAAGAATATCTAAGGCGGACTTCTTCCCTTCGGAAAGAAGGGGGGGGGAGCAGAAGTTGTTCATATCGTTCAGCAGACCACACAGGCCAGTTGGTTCTGCGACCCTGGCCAGGTGGGTTAAGTCAGTGTTAGGCACGGCAGGTGTTGACACAGCAACTTTCTCAGCTCATTCCACTCGAGGAGCATCCACTTCAGCTGCTACAGCTGCTGGGGTGTCTCTACATAGCATCATGAATGCAGCGGACTGGTCACGAGAGTCTACCTTCCTGAAGTACTACAGGAGGGACAACAACCAACACACGTTTTGCCAGGCTGTGCTGTCCACGGCTCTGAAGTCTGCATAAGGTAAATGATATACCCAAATAGGGAGTGTGCAGGTATAATTGAGGATTAGGCAAATTGTACTTACCATGAAGGATAATCCCAATTATACCTCACACGAACTATTTGGGTATATCTTCCCACCCTTGCTGTTCTTCAGCTTCCAAGTAGCTGAAAATGCCCACCCATGGTGAACAGCACAGACTCTTTCTCGCACGTCGTCAAATGGCGGCGAACATTGTCATTACGTCATGATATCCCGTGATGCTTTGCGATTAAAGCTTTGTACACGTGCGCCACCTAGCGATAAGCATAGGAAATACTGCATAAGGTAAATGATATACCCAAATAGTTCGTGTGAGGTATAATTGGGATTATCCTTCATGGTAAGTACAATTTGCCTAATCCTCAATTATAAAATCATATACAGGTAGAAAGCTTAGCCTCTCTGAACACTAGATGCGTTCAGAAAAAATGAGCCTTTATCTGTAGCCTTCCTACTGCGGATACACTACACTGTATCGGCCTTTTAAATTCAGTACACCCCGTGTACATGATACATCTGCCTTTTCATAACAACTCAACTCAAAAATGTATATTATTAGGATTGGAATTAAAAAACACATATACAGGTAGAAAGGTTAGCCTCTCTGAACACGAGATGCGTTCAGAAAAAAGTGCCTTTATCTGTAACCCATGTACATAATACATCTGCCTTTTCATAACAACTCGATTCAAACCTATATTATGAGGATTGAAATTGTAAAATTATAAACACTTAGAAAGCTTATCTCAAGAGTGCTATATATATATATATATATATATATATATATATATATATATATATATATATATATATATATATATATATATATATATATATATATATATACACTACAATACATCAGCCTTTTTAATTCCGTACAACGCAATGGGACACTTACACTATCACGGTTTCAGTTATAGATGAAGAATTAGGAAAGGCACGATGCAACCTAAGCTTATTTCGTACTGACTTTTATCTTTTGCCTTCACTCAATAAGTGTAAGTCCTGTCTACGTTGCAAGACTTGCCTCGTTCATTTCTATAGAAGGCATAAGAGAACGAATGGTGTACAGTCTGCAGTTCCACCATTTACCGCTAGGCGTTTTTTAACACCTCTGATGCCATTTCAATACTCTCCATTAGGCGCTTTTATAGCGCGTTACATAGAAGATAGCCACCACAGTCGGTACTAAGTTAGACCACAGTAAAACCGAGACCGTTTGATGCAAAGAAAGCAGAACTTAAATTGGTATAAAGTTGATGAACAAAATGTTACACTTACAGACATACAAAATCACCACTGATACATAAAATATGTCGTGACCACCCATACAGGCCTGCAGCGTGCGAATATATGTATTAGTAGTTGGAAAATACAGTCACGGTGTGGTTCGAATAACAAGTGACAACCAGCTGCCCTTCCGGTCCCACAGCCAGGCCTTGTGGCCCAAACCCAGTACGGATGGAGCGGAGATACTCGCCGTGACGTGTGAATATCTGAACCCTCCCGTTCCAACGGTCTGCCACGATGATGTTCCCTGCCCTGTCTGTACAGATGCCACGGGGATCCCTCAGCTGACCTTCACCACTTCCCTTACCTCCAAACCTGAACAGGAACATCCCGGACTTGTCAAACACGTAGACAGAGTGACTGATCCAGTCCGATACAAGAATGTTCCCTTCCCCGTCCACAGTGATGTACCGCGGGCCTTTCATCTCACCCTTTGGATGTCGGAACCTCCGCACCAGAGAGCCGTCCGGACGGAACACCTCAACTTCACAACGGCCTGCATCAGTCATCAGGACGTGGTTAGTGCGCATGTCCACCGCAATGCCACGGAGATACTCGTTCTTCCGAAGTTGAAACCCCGCCATGGCGGTCCCGTCCATGCTGTACTGTACAACATGATCGGCTGTCTCTCCATTCCCCACTACCCACAGTGTGCCGTTAGAGTCCATACTAACATCATGTGGCGCCATGTCCTTATCCTCTGTACCCGGTACGACTGTTGGGAAGTGGCGGAGGTAACCCCCCTTCATGCTGTGGACTTGGACTCGCATGTTGTCCATACCAGCCACAAATATCTCGTTGCTAGGCGACACCACAACGCCGCGTGGGTCCCAAAATTTACCAGGTTCTGATCCTCCCCCGCCAAAAGTGACCTTACCCTGTTCCACGTCTCCAGTAGTGCGAGTTGCCGCTCTCTCTATTCCCGCTTGGGGGCGCTCTTGTTCGGTTGCTTCTGCACCAGGAACTTCCTCTTTTTCTTCGTTACCATTGTCAGAGCCTTGTCTTGCAGTTACCTTGTCTTTTTCCGCCGCCAACGCTTCTTTTCCAGCTTTGTCACCAGCATCTTCAGGTCTCCCTGTAGTACCATCAGTATCCGCTAGGAGCTTCTGTGTAGCTGCTTCTGCCTTTTCGACCTGTGCCGGCCAGCCTCCTGGAGGCTTCTCTCCCCTGTACTCCTGTGACCAGCTTCCAGGCGGCTTCTCTCCCCTGTACTCCTGTGACCAGCCGCCAGGCGGCTTCTCTCCCCTGTACTCCTGTGACCAGCCGCCAGGCGGCTTCTCTCCCCTGTACTCCTGTGACCAGCCTCCAGGTGGCTTCTCTCCCCTGTACTCCGTCACGTGGGTTGCCACCTGCCTGGCGGCTTTCTCGGCGTATTCTTGAGCCTGCTGCAGCTTTTCTCCAAGAACTGCGTTCGTCTCCAGGGCCTCCTTGAGCCTGTTCTCTGCGATGTTGAGCTTGGAGCGTAAGGTCATGAGCGTGTTCGAATCCACCTCTGCCTTCTGCCGGAGCGCGTTGGACTCCACTTCAGCCTTCCTGAGGTTGTGGACGGCTTGCCTCATCTGGTGTTCCCTGAGCCGGTCCCTCTCGGCCAGAGCCCGGACCAGGCTGTAGGAGAAGCCCTGGTACTCCAGACTCGCCGCCACCTGCAGATGGAGCGGCAGGGCGTCCGAGAACAGGTTCAGCGCCCACAGCCGCGTCCAGCTCCTGGGCGCCCTCTGCTGCTTGGTGCGGGTACTGCAGCCCACCTCGATGTCATCGACGGGCAGTTGTCTCTTGGTATCTGCTAAGCAAAAAGAATTTGCGGGTCTTCAGACTAATTACTTTATGCAACTTAACCCAAATATTGTAACTTGAAGCCCGACTAGTTGTTTGTAGAAATTGCATGTAATTAAATTTTCCTTTGAATGCAGAGCCTTGCTCCTTTTTAAAATGACACTGAAGGAACTTTGTGTTAAAGGTAAGAACCATTGTATATTATAATGATAACCTTTATTGTACATTCATGCCCTATCGGGCTAAGTACAGGTCAACAGATGAAATAGGTAATATTGAAGGTCCGGTTTAACATACCTTTGAAAAGCACCCCCTGTGCGACTACGATTGGTGGTTCAGCGTCGATCTGCAGTGACGTGACGCCCATGAATACAAGTCTCTGGTCCGAGTGATTTGCCATGAGCTTTAGCACCGCTGTGCTCTTCCGCGGTAAAGTGTAGTGCACAAGGATGCTGTTGCCTGCTCTGTATCCCCTGAACATGATATCTGAGCCCTCAATACGACACAGCGATCGTAGATAGTATCTATGGCGATCTACAGTCTCCTGGATCATGTGTCTTTGGCCTTGAACTACCAAGTAGGCTTCGGCTGTTTCTCCTGTAGATATGTAAGGTAGAAACATTGTTTATAGAAAGTTTTATTGCAAATTCATGTCCGAGGGCTAATTGCATGAACAGAAGAAACATTTGTATAAAAACAGATAATTAGTACAAATAAAACTACTGATAGCTATTAAGAAACTAATAGTAGAAAACTACTGGGTTTGACTTCTTTCTTGAAGACAGGGGAAGACAAAGGATCACACTTTTTCTATAATTTGTGGGTTTTCGGATGTTAAGAGAAGAGTACTTTCTTTCTTTTCTTTTTTTTATAATACATGTATAATAACGTTTCAATTAGAGAAAAATTAAAGCTTAAAAATTATGAAATTTAGGACTTCAGTATTTACTAAAGTAATAACATTATTCAAACGACTACAAATACCATTGTACGTAAACAAACGTCAGTTTTTTTTACACCTAGAAGAACTCCATCCGTCGTTTCGCTGAAAGAAAGCGATTTTATATCTGTCTATTTTACAATATCTACATCTCATTTCACTATTCCATTTTAGTGGAATGTGTTCTAAACTTCACGCAAAATTGAAAAGCGCAAAATGAACATTATAACTAGCTGTATATTGCGTTTGAAGAAAAATGTCACCATAAAATACATTAGCTCACCATCTGCACTTGTACCATCAGTGCTTGTTCCCGGTTCTAGTTCAGGATTTTCCGGAATTTCTCGTCCAGGCGGTTGGAACGGCCTCAGAACGTTGATCACCAGGTCTGCACGCTCCATATTTTCTAAGATCTCCTTAACAAATTCCAAGTTCTCCTGATCGATTTTGCCCAGTTCTATCAACTTCTCAAAAATTTCAAACGGCTGATTGAGTCTTTCTGCAATACCTTTTGGAATCAAATGGCGACAATACAACTTCATGAGTTTCGTTTCATACACTGTCAGGTCCTCAGATATTTTTTGTAAAGTCTTTACGAATTTAAAATGGCGTCTGTCAGCATCCGTAACCCCTGCTTGAGCGTTAACTGGAGCTGCCATTCTGAAACAAAGTGATGATCGCTTATAATTGTGTATAGTTAGTAGTAGTAGTAGTAGTAGTAGTAGTAGTAGTAATAGTAGTAGTAATAGTAGTAGTAGTTGTAGTAGTAGTAGTAGTAGTAGTAGCCAGCAGTAGTAGTAGTAGTAGTTACTGTAGTAGTAGTAGTAGTCGTAGCAGCAGTAGTAATAGTAGTAGTAGTAGTAGTAGTGGCCAGTAGTAGTAGTAGTAGTAGTCGCAGTAGTAGTAGTAGTAGTAGTAGTAGTAGCCAGTAGTAGTAGTAGTAGTAGTCGCAGTAGTAGTAGTAGTAGCCAGTAGAAGTAGTAGTAGTAGTCGCAGTAGTAGTAGTAGTAGTAGTTGTTGTAGTAGTAGTAGTAGTAGCCTAGATAGTCTTCAAGTGCCTCATGGATATGGTAATCGGTAGTTATGCCATGGTACTTTTACCAACAGTACATGGAATTTGTAACTCACCTCTCCTTTACAAAGAAGCAAATTGAAGAAAACGAGACGAGATATTCTTGGTTTTAAGACTCGGGACATAGAATGGGCGTTAAAAACTGCAATTTGTAATTTGACATTGTTGACCTTAAATGGCGGCCTTGTTGTGGTGGCACGTTTACAAAATACCTTACCTTCACGGTGCCTCCACAGGTAAGCACTTATAAAGGCCGTTTAAGGGCTTACCTGTTTGAAGCAACCTGTTGATTGTGACGCAAAATTAAGCTGTATCAAGCAACAATCACCTTGTTTTTTTTTCTTTATTAAAACATTTAGGAACAAAGTGGACAGGACATTGTAATCACCTTGTTGATCCAGAAAAGATTTCTCAAACCTGTAGATGGTCTGACTAATGAAGGTAACACTGTAAATATGGCGCCTGGAAGAGCAGCAGTTTGTAATCTGCCGACCTTTGCCGTGACGTAGTGGTTTTTCTTGTTTCAAACGCCCCGGGTCGTCTGCGCGTGACGTCACATCCGCCTTGCCGACCTTTGCCGTGACGTAGTGGTTTTTCCTGTTTCAAACGCCCCGGGTCGTCTGCGCGTGACGTCACATCCGCCTTGCTGACCTTTGCCGTGACGTAGTGTTTTTTCTTGTTTCAAACGCCCCGGGTCGTCTGCGCGTGACGTCACATCCGCCAGGCTGGCTGTTTGTACATGTATGATGCTAGTAGTTGGCAACATTAGCTCGATTTCCGGACCTGTAAAATGGGTTTGGGTCGTCTTCTAATCACTCGGGACTTCTCCCGTGGCAAGTGATAGATTAAGTGTGTCAGCGGTTTGAAAATGACAGGGGCGGAGTCCTTAAGCAGTTTTGAGGGGATCTTGTACAGCCCAGTGGCCTTCTTCCCTTTCAATCTGAGGAGTTAAACTTAGCTCTATCAAGGACATTATAATGTCCTTGGCTCTTTCGATTCCTCAATAGGCTCAAGGCTGAACTCTGGTATGAGACAGAGAGGGTCTTCCATGGAGGCTGCATACTATCTGCAAGGCTTGTAGCACAAGTTGGAAAAATCAAACTCCACAAAAAATGATTACATCTATCAATCATTTATCACAAAAGGATAACGTCATTTTCTCTTGAACTGTTCACACAACTTTCTGGTTATTCCTTTACCTTGTACCTGTGTTATTTGCAGGCCTGTCGGGGACACGGGTAATGGTATAAAAGCAGGCAATTAGTACATATAGAACTATTGATAACTACTAAGAAACTACTGGTAAAAACTACTGGGTTTGACTTCTTTTTTGAAGACAGAGGAAGACAAAGGATCCCACCCATAGTAAATACTCAAAGTACAGCGGGAGTGGTGTTGAGCCAAATCCTTGAGCTGCCACATCCGTGAGAGGTCAGATGTTTAGGGCTAGGGTTATGATCATTGTTCAGGGCTGTAGGGTTAGGTTAAGTTCAGTCTGGCACCCTCCCACCCCTTGTCTCATGTATATTGGATACCCCCAAGTTGTGTCGAGTCATGTATTTGGCAGGATCATGTTTATGGCTGGAATCACCCCCCCCCCAGAAAACCGGGATGAGTTGTAGAGTGTTACAATCTCTCCTCACAACATCTGTTTGAAGATTGAATGGCAGAAGAAGATTTAGTTCAAAAAAGTCTTAATTTAAAAGCTAATTTCGTCGTGAACTTTGTCATGCTCCATTAGTGTACATGTAAGTCTTGACTGCGTTGACAAATTTGCATTGTTTACCTGTACAGACATCATTGAGGATCGAATTGGGTACAGTAAAATCTGCAGTTTCACCAGTTACCGCTAGACGTTTTACTAACATATTTGATGCCTGTTCAATATTTTCCATTAGACATAGACATAGAAGATCGACACCACAGTCGGTACTGAGTTAGACCACAAGAAAACCAGGACCATTTTATGCAAAGGAGCAGAATAGGTGTAAGATTTATAAAACAATCTCACAGATGTACAAAATCACCACTGATACATAATATGTATAACTAATGTGCAATCCTATATAGACATAGTGTAAATTCTGTGACACAGATAAAAAAAAATCGCTGCTGATACATAATGTGTGTAACTAATGTGCAATCCTATATAGACATAGTGTAGAGTCTGTAACACAGATATACAAAATCACTGCTGGTACATAATATGTGTAACTAATGTGCAATCCTTTATAGACATAGTGTAGAGTCTGTAACACAGATATTCAAAATCATTGCTGATACATAATATGTGTAACTAATGTGCAATCCTATATAGTGTAGAGCCTGGAAGTCTGCATTAAGGCCATCAGTAATAATGTAAAATAGACCAGAGTGGTTAAAATTAGTGGGCCTGCTATTCAGGAACAAAATTAAACCATTCCCAAATACATTTATCATGTGTGACTAAGGGTAGTTTTTGACATATGGTCACAGTGTGGTCGTCATTGTCATTGATCTGTAACAGGTTCAACTATCGCGTATTATTTGTCATGTATTAGTAGCTAGGAAATACAGTCACGGTGTCGTTTACATGACTGGTAACAACCAGCTGCCCTTCCGGTCCCACAGCCAGGCCGCCTGGCCAAGACTCAGTACGGATGGAGCGGAGATACTCGCCGTGACGTGTGAATATCTGAACCCTCTTGTTCATAGAGTCCGCCACGATGATGTTCCCTGCCCTGTCTGTACAGATGCCACAGGGATCCTTCAGCTGACCTTTACCACTTCCCTCACCTCCAAACTGGAACAGAAACTGTCCGTCCTCCTTGTACACATAGATATAGTGATTGTTCATGTCTGACACAAGAATGTTCCCTTCCCCGTCCACCGTGATGTACTGCGGGTCTCTCATCTCACCCTCTGGATGTCCGAACCTCCGCACCAGAGAGCCGTCCGGACGGAACACCTCAACTTCACCACGTTCTGCATCAGTCACCAGGATTTGGTTAGTGCGCATGTCCACCGCAATACCGCGGTAATACTTGTTCTTTCTAAGACCAAACCCCGCCATGGCGGTCCCGTCCGGGCTGTACTGTACAACATAATCGGCTGCCTCTCTACGCCCCACTACCCACAGTGTGCCGTTAGATTCCACAGTAATATCAGTTGGCCTCATGTCCTTATCCTCTGTACCCGGTACGACTGTTGGGAACTGGCGGAGGTAACCCCCCTTCATGCTGTGGACTTGGACTCGCCTGTTATCTGTATCAGTCACGAATATCTCGTTGCTAGGCGACACCACAATGCCGCGTGGATACTTAAATTTACCAGGATCTGTTCCTACCCCGCCGAAAGTGACCTCACCCTGTTCCACGTCTCCAGTAGTGCGAGGTACCGCTCCCTCTAACCCCGCTTGGGGGCGCTCTTGTCCGGTTGCTCCTGGAGTTTTCTTGCCTTCTTCTTCTTTGTCTTTTTCTTTATCTTCTTCTTTGTCGTCTTCTTCTTCCTCCTCGTCTTCTTCTTTTTCTTTTTCTTCTAGAACCGACCATTCTTCTCCAACCTTGTTACCATCTTCAGGTCTACCTGTAGTACCATCAGTATCCGCTAGGCGTGTCTGTGTGCCTGCATCTGCCTTCTCGACCTGTGCCGGCCAGCCGACAGGCGGCTTCTCTTCCCTGTACTCCTGTGACCAGCCTCCAGGCGGCTTCTCTCCCCTGTACTCCTGTGACCAGCCGCCAGGCGGCTTCTCTCCCCTGTACTCCTGTGACCAGCCTCCAGGCGGCTTCTCTCCCCTGTACTCCGTCACGTGGGTTGCCACCTGCCTGGCGGCTTTCTCGGCGTATTCTTGAGCCTGTTGCAGCTTTTCTTCAAGAACTGCGTTCGTCTCCAGGGCCTCCTTGAGCCTGTTCTCTGCGATGTTGAGCTTGGAGCGTAAGGTCATAAGCGTGTTGGAATCCACCTCTGCCTTCTGCCGGAGCGTGTTAGAGTCCACTTCAGCCTTCCTGAGGTTGTGGACGGCTCGCCTCATCTGGTGTTCCCTGAGCCGGTCCCTCTCGGCCAGAGCCCGGACCAGGCTGTAAGAGAAGCCCTGGTACTCCAGACTCGCCGCCACCTGCAGATGGAGCGGCAGGGCGTCCGAGAACAGGTTCAGGGCCCACAGCCGCGTCCAGCTCCTGGGCGCCCTCTGCTGCTTCTTACGGGTACTGCAGCCCACCTCGATGTCATCGACAGGCAGTTGTCTCTTGGTATCTGCTAAGCAAAAAGAATTTGCGGGTTTCAGACTAATTACCTTATATGCTACTTAACCCAAATATTGTAACTTGAAGCCCGAATAGTTGTTTGTAGAAATTGCATGTAATTAAATTTTCCTTTGAATGCAGAGCCTTGCTCCTTTTTTAAAATGACACTGAAGGAACTTTGTGTTAAAGGTAAGAACCATTGTATATTGAAGGTCCGGTTTAACATACCTTTGAAAAGCACCCCCTGTGCGACTTTGATCGGTGGTTCAGCGTCGATCTGCAGTGACGTGACGCCCATGAATACAAGTCTCGGGTCCGAGTGATTTGCCATGAGCTTTAGCACCGCTGTGCTCTTCCGCGGTATAGTGTAGTGCACCAGGATGCTGTTTCCTGCTCTGTATCCCCTGAACATGACATCTGAGCCCTCAATACGACACAGCGATCGTAGGTAGTATCTATGGCGATCTACAGTCTCCTGGATCATGTGTCTTTGGCCTTGAACTACCAAGTAGGCTTCGGCTGTTTCTCCTGTGGATATGTAATGTAGAAACATTGTTTATAATACATATATAATAACGTTTTGATTAGAGCAAAATTAAAGATTAAAAATTTGAAATTTAGGACTTCAGTATTTACTTAAGTAATAACATTATTCAAATGACTACAAAAGCCATTGTACGTAAACAAACGTCAGTTTTTTACGCCTAGAAGAACTCCATCCGTCGTTTCGCTGAAAGAAAGCGATTTTATATCTGTCTATTTTACAATATCTACATCTTATTTCACTATTCCATTTTAGTGGAATGTGTTCTGAACTTCACGCAAAATTTTAAAGCGCAAGATGAACATTATACCTAGCAGTATATTGCGTTTGAAGAAAAATGTCACCATAAAGTACATTAGCTCACCATCTGCGTTTGCACCATCAGTGTTTGTTCCCGGTTCTAGTTCAGAATTTTCCGGAATCTCTCGGCCAGGCGGTTGGAACGGCCTCAGCACGTTGATCACCAGGTCTGCACGCTCCATATTTTCTAAGATCTCCTTAACAAATTCCAAGTTCTCCTGATCGATTTTGCCCAGTTCTATCAACTTCTCAAAAATTTCAAACGGCTGATTGAGTCTTTCTGCAATACCTTTCGGAATCAAATGGCGACAATACAACTTCATGAGTTTCGTTTCATACACTGTCAGGTCCTCAGATATTTTTTGTAAAGTCTTTACGAATTTAAAATGGCGTCTGTCATCATCCGTAACTCCTGCTTGAGCGTTAACTGGAGCTGCCATTCTGAAACAAAGTGATGATCGCTTATAATTGTGTATAGTAAGTAGTAGTAGTAGTTACTGTAGTAGTAGTTGTAGTAGTTGTAGTAGTAGTAGTAACTGTAATAGTAGTAGTAGTCACAGTAGTAGTAGTAGTAGTAGTAGTAGTTACTATAGTAGTAGTTGTAGTCGCAGTAGTAGTAGTAGTGCTAGAAATAGTAGTAGTAGTAGTAGAAGTACTAGTACTAGAAATAGTAGTAGTAGTAGTAGTAGTTACTGTAGTAGTTGTAGTAGTAGTAGTAGTAGTAGCCTAGATAGTCTTCAAGAGCCTCATAGAGTTATGCTAATCGGCAGTTATTCCGTTGTATTTTTGCCAACAGTATATGGAATTTGTAACTCAACTCTCCTTTACAAAGAAGCAAATTAAAGAAATGCTCCAAACGTCGCCCCTCCTTTCATACGAGGAATTCTTGGTTTTAAAGCTCGGGACATAGAATGGGCGTTGAAAACTACAATTTGTAATTTGACATTGTTGACCTAAAATGGCGGCCTTGTTGTGGTGGCACGTTTACAAAATACCTTACCTTCACGGTGCCTCTACAGGTAAGCACTTATAAAGGCCGTTTAAGGGCTTACCTATTTGAAGCAACCTGTTGATTGTGACGCAAAATTAAGCTGAATCAAGCAACAGTCACCTCGTTGATCCAGAAAAGACTTCTCAAAGCTGTAGATGATCTGACTAATGAAGGTAACACTGTAAATATGGCGCCTGGAAGAACAGCAGTTTGTAATCTGCCGACCTTTGCCGTGACGTAGTGGTTTTTCCTGTTTCAAACGCCCCGGGTCGTCTGCGCGTGACGTCACATCCGCCTTGCTGACCTTTGCCGTGACGTAGTGGTTTTTCTTGTTTCAAACGCCCCGGGTCGTCTGCGCGTGACGTCACATCCGCCTTGCTGGCTGTTTTTACATGTATGATGCTAGTAGTTGATTTGATTTGATTTATTAGGCTGATAACACATATGTATGCAGCCAGGACTGCCCAACTAGCCGGAGGCTATTATAAAGGGATAGCCCTCACAACAAGAACATAAACAATTCGGAACAGGTAACAGTTAACAGTGTCAGTTACACTTCAGATAAACATAATATTACATAACAGATGATTAGCTCGATTTCCGGACTTGTAAAATGGGTTTGGGTCGTCTTCTACTCACTTAGGACTTCTCCCGTGGCAAGTGATAGATTAAGTGTGTGAGCGGTTGGGAAATGAAAGGGGCAGAGTCCTTCAGCAGTTTTGAGGGGATCTTGTACAGCCCAGTGGCCTTTTTCGCTTTCAATCTCAAGACTTCATTTAGCTCTATCAATTTCTCAACAGACTCAAGGCTGAACTTTGTTCTAGGCTACGGTATGTGATGGAGAGGGTCTTTTTTTAATTATTTCAAACACCAAAAGCAAACCTTGAAGCAGGAATGAGAATCCCAGAATTGAAAGACTTTGCGTACAGAAAAAAAAAGTTACAATAAGCAAGGCAAACAATATATACACACCCTCATATACACTATAATGCATAAAAAATTTGTACCAAGCAAAAAAAACTATATACTGATGAGGTTTAGGAAAGATAAAACTAGTGATATGTCAGTGATATGTCTTCCATGGAGGCTGGCCTACTATCTGCAAGGCTTGTAGCACAAGTTGGAAAAATCAAACTCTGCAAAAAATGATAACATCTATCAATCATTTATCAAAAAAGGATTGCGTCATTTTCTCTTGAACTGTTCACACAACTTTTTAGTTATTTCTTTACCCTGTACCTGTGTTATCTGCAGGCTTGTCGGGGACACGTCGGGTAAATACTCATAGTACGGCGGGAGTTGCAATTTGTGTTGAGCCAAATCCTTGAGCTGCATGCGCTAGACGTTTAGATGTTACCGCTAGACGTTTTTGTAACATATTTGACGTCTGTTCAATATTTTCCATTAGACACTTTTATAGAGCGTTACATAGAAGATAGCCACCACAGTCGGTACTAAGTTAGACCACAGGAAAAGCAGGACCGTTTAATGCAAAGAAAGCAGAACTAAAATTGGTGTCTGATGAACAAAATGTTACACTTACAGACATACAAAATCACCACCGATGCATAAAATATGTCGTGACCCCCCATGCAGACCCTCATTGACGTCACGTGCAATCATATACATACATAGTGTAGAGCTATTGATAACACTTACAACTACAGCGTATTACATGGCATCATATGTATTAGTAGTTGGGAAATACTGTCACGGTGTCGCTCCAAAAACTGGTCACAACCAGCTGGCCTTCCGGTCCCACAGCCAGGCCGTCTGGCCAAGACTCAGTACGGATGGAGCGGAGATACTCGCCGTGACGTGTGAATATCTGAACCCTTTTCTTCCCAGA